TATCCATGAGTTGTCGTATGTGATGTGAAATTTGAAGTTGCCTCAAAACTTGTTGTATGTGAAGTGAAACTTGTAGTTGGGTAGGGAGTTGTTGTATACGATGCAAAACTGGTAGTTGGTTCGGGAGTTATCCTAAATGACGTAAAACTGGTAGCTGGGTCAGGAGTTGTCGTATACGATGCAAAACTTGTAGTTGGTTTGGGAGTTGTTGTATCTGGTGTGACACTGGTGGTTGGCTCGGGAATTGTTGTATGTGGCGTGAAACTGATAGTTGGGTCGGGAGTTGTCGTATACAATGCAAAACTGGAAGTTAGCTTGGGAGTTGTTGTATACAATGCAAAATTGATAGTTGGGTCGGGAGTTGTATATGACGCGTGACACTGGTAGTTGAATTGGGAATTGTCGTATCTGGCACGACACTTGTAGTTGAATCGGGATTTATCATATATGATACAAAACTGGTAGTTGGATCAGGAGTTGTTGCATATGACATGAAACTGATAGTTGAATCAGGAGTTGTATATGATGCAAAACTGGTTGTTGGGTCAGGAGTTGACGTATCTGTCATGAAATTGGTAGTTGAATCAGGAGTTGTTGTATCTGGTGTGAAACTAGTAGTTGAGTTGGGAGTTGTCGTATGTGATGTGGAACTGGTAGTTGGATTATGAGTTGTCGTATGTGATGTGAAACTTGTAGTTAGTTCTGGAGTTGTCGTATGTGATGTGGAACTGGTAGTTGGATTATGAGTTGTCGTATGTGATGTGAAACTTGTAGTTAGTTCTGGAGTTGTCGTATGTGATGCGAAACTGATCGTTGGCTCGGAAATTGCCGTATCTGACGCGAAACTGGTAGTTGGGTTGGGAGTTGTTGTGTATGACACAAAACTTGTAGCTGGGATGGGAGTTGTCGTATATGATGCGAAACTGGTAGTTGGATCGGGAGTTGTCGTGTATGACACAAAACTAGTAGCTGGGTCACGAGTTGTTGTATATGATGCAAAACTGGTCGTTGCCTGGGGAGTTGTCGTATACAGTGTGAAACTGGTAGTTGGGTCGGTAGTTGTCGTATCTGGCGCGACACTGGTAGTTGAATAGGAAATTGTCATATGTGGCGCTACACTGGTAGTAGGGTCGGGAGTTGTCATATGTGGTGTGAAACTGTTAGTTGGATTGTGAGATGTGGTGTGTGACAGTAGTGTAATGGTGGTTGATTTTCCATCAACACAGGTCACGCACATCCATTCACCATCTTTAAAATGCAGAACGTATCTGCTTCCTTCTTTCCCTTCAACACAGAAACAAACAATGGATGCATTTTTTGCAGTTGTGCAATAATTTAAACTAATATATATGATATGTTAAATAATATATGATATGTTGGTTATTTATAAAGCAAGAAACACTGTAATTTCAGCATTATAGATGCATGTTCATCAGTTCACACATTTATCATATTATTGCCGTAATTTATTTTGTCGTGCTTTCAATAACTGCTTATTTAAAGCACTAAACAGTGTTAACTTATCGTGAATGAATTACTCAGCATGCTTTTCAAAGCATGTACATTCTATGTTAAAGGCTTAATATTAACCCATCTTAGTGATTTTTCATTAGAGGAAAATAAATATAATGTCTGTTCACATTGTACTGTATTTTATTCTGAAATTAAACTTTGATTGGTATGAAATAGGCAATAGAAACAACTGAAAAGCAATTTATAAATCTTAAAAGAGACTTACCGCTGCATATAACTTTGTCATATACAGCATTTCTACATTTCTCTCCAGGATTAACGGGCTTGATGTTTAGTTCGACATTCATGTGAAAATTATATATGTTATTATCTGATTGACAGGAAATGAACTCAATGAGTTTGTCAGTCTTCACAAGTGCTTTCAGATAATAAATATGCAGTATCACACAGTCATGTTAGCAGTATATTTCACATCTATCTGGATATGGTGAGCTACTATTGTTCCAGAAATATTCATCTGTCAAACTGACTTGGATTTTGATTTGGATCAGATTTTCCGAGCTGCCTGAACAAACAAAGTCAACATTTAAGATTATTGTGTAACAATGTATGACATGATAAAAAAAAAAAAAAACTCTATATTAGAGGTCGTAATTTAGATGCCCACAGCCACAATCTTTTTTTTTAAATCACATTATTTTTGCTTACATTTTAGTTTGTGTTTTAATATTCTCCAAACAACATATTAATTGGCATATGTTTCTGTTTAAGTTGCTGAATCCATTTTTCAAGGAAACATACTTATCTGGCACGGAGCACAACAGATGATCATCAGCCACAGCAAATTCTGCTTTTGTCGAGTCATAATTCCCAGAGACAGCGGTCTGCTAGAGACACTCATTAGCTTTGTTTTCTACAGGCTTTGGAAATAAATCTTTAATAATTTTCTTATAGCATACTTCACATGAAAGTCCACAGTCTGTTTGATGCGTCCACATATGAAGCTGTTGGATTATGAGCCGCTGGACTCTGACATACAGTTCATTTGCAAACATGCAAATCATGTTTTTTGGGCTTTAACTGAGAATCGTATTATCTGCTTACATTCAAGTCCAGTTTATCAAGGCATTTTTGCTCACAGACAACCATATAAACGTAAAATTAATATATGTTTAATTAAAGTTGCAATAAAATGCCAATGAAAGCATAACCTTTATTAGAGGCAATTAGACAATATTTACATTAATCAGCAATATTTACAGTCAGATTCCCATACAGAAAATGCCAAGTTTGAAAATGTTTCATAGAAACAATGAAATGCAATGTTTATTTACAATAAACGGCACTTGCTTTGTTATTTTCTCATCTAATAAAAGGTATTCACACATTTACAAGTTTGACTGAAGTGAATAAATAATTTTAGATCCACTGAAAGTCTTCTGAAGATGTGAATTTGTTTCGTAAAAGATGTTCAGTGTTGTTTGAGTTGCTCTGACACACACTTGATCACACATAGTGGACAGAAGGATGTATCAAATTAGCTCAAAAGGGAAATGTATATAAATAATTACAATTAATTATGATTAATTACAATTATTTATATCAGCTGCCAGTAGTGACTGTAGCAGAATTAAATTGCCCTCAACTAATCTGTTCGTCCAGCGAACATTCAGTGTAAGTTCATATCAACTCTAGGAAAGGATATTTTCGTGGCCACAGAAAATACTTTCATACAGTATTAATGCATTAGAGCATGTAGCAAGGATCAAAATCGTAAAGAGACATTAATTTGCAAGGCAGAATCAGAAACTCATGTAATTTGTGCACAAGAGTTTTATTAACTAAACACTAACACAAACTAGTCTAACAAACAAACAAACAATCACTCATACATGGGAAAGAAAGCAAATGAGACTTGATGGATGAAACCATGAGGAAAACCAGAGAATGAAGCTATGAAAAGAGTCAGTTAACCACCTGAGTGAAACCATCAGTGCCGTTTTAGAGCGGGGTCTACAGCTCATACTAAACCTCTGTTTCGTTTAGTTAAATGTACGATACTTGCATTGCATTGGCCTGGAACGAGCGTCCGGATGCAGTCTTGGATGAAAGTCTTGATGGTTTGGAGGTTCGGTGGTGCGGGAGTCGCGATCACCTTCTTCCGGGTTTGAAGAGTGATGAACTCCAAAAAGATGTTATTCTGACTCTGTGGTGGTCGGGAGAGTTTTCTCCCAGATGAAGATGATGAAGAGCTAAGAGAGACGTCAGCTGAGATCCAAGGATCGATGGTGAATGTAAAGACAAGGCCGAAGCCCGGTGCAGACTTAATAGTTGCAGAAGCGTTCTAGCTCACATCCTCATCTTCTCAGAATCTAACAGAACCGCCAACTGAAAGGCTATGTGTTGGAGCCCACCGGGCAAGCCCGCACCAGCTCAGGCTCTCCACACGGGCAGCAATCAGAAGATTTAGCAGAAGACTTAGCAGAACTGTGCGTGAGCCCTTTAAGGTCTGAGAAGATTCACGCCTCTCAGGATGGGCTTGTCCAATGAAAAAGGCTGAAATTCCAAGCGGGAGGTTGGAAATACTGGGGGGTTTTATGACCCTTTGTCTGAGAGCATGGTCATTTGCATATGGAACTCGATTGGGTGTTGATGCCAAATTACTAAAGATTCTTAGAACACTAATATATTGCCTATGTACCAACATATAATATACACTCTCGTTTAGATCATCAGAAGACGAATTCATAGATACTAAACATGGTAAGACTACATATAGGTAAGATTACATGAACGAGTGGTTCTATCATAAGCATGCATAAAACAGTATACAATACAAAAGACAATATACAAGAACAGTAACAACATGCACATTGACCTGGGGATATGCATGATAAAATTCTCTATGAATTAATGAAAGAAGTCATTTCCTATAGCAGTATGTGTCTGTTTTAGAAAGAATTGAGTAGGGGGAAGATTCTCTCTACATACTTTTAGGTCGTAAAGTTTATCTGATCTGGCTGAATTGTCCTGGTTGCCACGGTAACCAGGGGCCTGGTGTCGTTCACAGACATCCTGGCACCCAGTATGTTTATTGGGTAAGGGGTCTGTGACTATTTGTTAATCTAATGAATAATTGATTTGTTAAATCTAATGAAAAATGGTGTGTCTTATTGGTCCAAATGCTACAAGGATGATTATAACGCTCAATAAATCGAACATAACTAATATCAGGTCATATCATATTCAATCCTTCTACAATAACAGAAGTTTCAGTAAGAATTTTTTAGTCATTTGTTGTGAGTTATTTCAATAAAATTGACCCTATTTAGGGCCATAATTTTAGGTGCATGCATTGTTTTAAACATTTCTTTCTCTTTCAGTAGTGACATTTGTATTTGTGTTGTTTTTGAGCTTGATTTTGGTGAGAATACACACTTTCTCCTTGAAAAAAACGGCTGTACAAATCAGTTTAAAAATCAGTCTAAGCAAGTCTGAGACAAAAAAAGCCTCCTGTCTTAATTATGCTAGTTATAAATATTTTCCACAGCATTAATGCTGGATTGAGTGATGGTTGTGCTGGAGTCGGTGCTTTCTGGATCATCAGAGAAGCAACCCGCAACGTCATTGTGAATGTGGTAGTAATACAGGAAGAGGAAAAACCCTGAAAGAAGAACACAAAAACTTATTTCAACTAATGCAAATACATTTCAGATATGATTATAGTCATTTACATAATTTTTAGTCAGTGACCAAAAATAATCAGACTTCTTGTCAAATTCATCATATTAGTGTAACTCCCATTATAACCCCTTTTAATTAAATACAACAATTAAATAAATAAAAAATATTACATTAAATGTATTTAAAAAAATATATAATTAAACATTTAAAATAATAAAATAATAAACTATTTAAAACATCCTTAGCTCTAATTATTAGCTGAAATCTGCAGGAAAAAATAGAAGTGTTCTACTAAACTAAATGTAATAATGCATGTGATTGTTTCTCACCCTGTAATGAGTTCAGCACGGTGAATATGTAATATGAGGGAATGAGCATCGGTCCATAACTGAAGACCGCCACAGACCACGTCAGACCGAAGAGCAGGAACAAACTCAACACCATCATCAGCTGCTTTCTGAACGTCTTTCTCTTGCCGTCAACAGCTTTTATGTTTCTGGCCTGAACAACCTTAGTGACCATCATGATGAAGATTCCTGTCGTGAAGACGAAAACTAAAGCGTAGTAGCCGATGTTCATATAATGAATGTAAGAATTTGTAATCCAGCACCTGTAATTAGAAGATAATAAAATTAAGAAGACAATCAGTTAACATCAATAAATTTATGAATATGTGACATCAAAGCAACTTACATTCGTGTGATTTTTCCAGACGTCGTGTTTAGGGTCACTGCTTCATATCCTCCTACAGAAACGATAACTACGACTATCGGAGCGGGACACACTGAAAGCACACAGAGATTAATTTATTTAGTTAAAAAAAAAGAGACAAAAACACAATATTTATAGTTGTACTTTAACTACAACTGTTTTTTCAGATACACTTGATAACAGTTGTAAAGACGCAAGCTTTGTTTTCGAATGCCCAAAGTAAAGATATAATGTCAAATTAATAACCTTTTGTGAACACAGCCAGTCTGTTCACAATGAAAGTGTCCAAATTACAGTATTTAACATATATAACAACATAAACAATATGATTTCCATACTAAATCCAGCTTAAACTCCTATTTTAAACACTCAAGACAAACGTCTCTACCTAGACCTCACAACGATTTTATTTTCTTAATAGATGTTTTGTTGCTCAGACTCACCCCAGCCTAACACGGTGATCTTCCTCATGTAGTTTGTGATGGTGACGTTCTGTCTGATGAGCCATAAGTACATATGAAGAGCTTGAATGAAGAACCAGGTGAATGAGGCCAGCATGGAGTAATGCAGCACCAGTGCTATGAAGACGCACGCAGCGTTGTCTCCTGTGTTAGCAACGCTCTTGTTTGACAAAAAGAAGACATTCAGTAGACACAAAGCCACAAACATGCTCATCAAGATCTTCGTGGCCTGATTTGATTTGGCTTTCCTATTAAAACATACAAAAAACTGCTTTTGTAACCTGAACTTTAATACATTAGAGGTTTGATCTCATCACTTGGATAATGTTTTACATGAAAATACTATTTCAGTCTTCAAAAATTCAAGTTTAATTCAATGTGTTGCTGTTTATTTCTTTGTAAATTTACCAGCAATTTCTTAGTGAAAATTGTTTGTTAGTGTAGCAATAATGATTATTAATTACTAAACAGCACTAACTGAATGATAAACTTTAAGATACTCTACCGTAGCAGGAAATGCATGAATAAAGCGATGGCCATAAAAAACATGGAGATGCCGCAGCCGACAGAAGAAATTAAGGTCAATGATTCCAGATGTGGCACTGTGTCGTTTGCTTTTGGCAGAGACTGAATTATTGGAGAAAAGACACAAACATGCACAGATCAGATGGATGATTTTTTGCTGTCATTTCCACAATGTCATCATGTTATACTTCAAAAGTCTCGACTGTCTAAACTGTTTCTCCTAGATAGCAATGAGATTAAATGCAGAGCAAATGGAGCTCTCAACAATGTCTTAATCTCTGCTGAAGACACCAAAGTCTGCAATTAAAATCAGATTTCAAAAGTCTCAATATGAACTCAAATATTTCTCAGCAAGTATACTAATCTGAGCTGCTCCACATTCATTTTATGGCTTTAGTTAGCATAAGTGAGAGCTGGTAACTAACTACACCTTTTGGATGCATTGACTGACTTATGCAAATGTGTGTATACATGCACTAATTTTCATCAGTCCAATCGAATCCGGTCTGAATTCAGATTCTGAACGTTCTGCTTATATGAACCGTTAACTTTGGAATACAATTCACATTTTTGTTTGGATCACATATATTTCAAATAAATCTTCAGCACAATGCGCAGTGCATTCAGATCGTGTTCAGTCAGATGATTGAGGTGTTTGAAGGATTTTCAATCCTAATTAATTAAGTCGTCAATCCAATTACTAACGCATTTTTGGGTGCATGTAAATGTAGCTACTGTATTTAAATTATTATTATTTTTTATTAGGTGCTTGATGCTTAATTCTTTTTTTGAGGGCTCTTGAAAGTGTGAAACAGACTTATTGACATCATTGCTTTGCTATCACTAGTCAGATGCAGTATTGTGGGAGGAATGCTCTCTTTCTAGAAATATTTTTGAACTAGACTTTTTGTTTTCCCATTAGAAAGAGGCTTTATTTTTTTAGATGTATCCAGGAAAAAACTCTCTGAGATTAAAAATTATGGGAGTCCTGACCAAGGATCTTTTGAGTTCACTAGCATGTAGACGTGGACTGAAAGACTTATGGGATCTTCATGGGATCTTTAAATGAAACATAAATTATGAAAGCATAAGTTCCCTTTCAGTCGGTCACTCTCGTCGTCACGTCGGTGATGACCGACGAACTGGGATCTCGCCAGAGAGACCAATACACTTTGAGTGTAACTATACGAGAACAATGGACATTGGCATGCGGATTTCACATCTGGCTGCCACACCCCGCAGCGCGAGTATAAAAGGCAGCAGGTGCAGTGCATTAATTCATCTTTTCGCTTCGGAGCCGAGCGGTGGTGCATCACTACTTCTCTCCTCTTCGAGTGATTGCAAGAGATGAGTGCGGGCGTTACAGCGTTGCAGTGGTGGTCGCGGTCTCACGGGAAAAAAAAGATAATCTTTCGTGCAGACAGCCACACTTGGAGTGTGCAGTGACCAGCTCCCCTGCGTGCTTCAGCACTATTTGAGCAATCTCTAAAAGAGCAACACGGGTGATCGCGTCTTTTTAAAGATGTCTTATCACCCGTGCGTTTCTGGATGTGGTCGTTTCCTGGCACCTCAGGACGGTCACGATCGCTGCCTCACGTGTCTGGGCATTGAGCACGCTGAGGAAGCGTTCGTGGATGGTGCATGTTCTTCTTGTAGGGACATGACCATCTCAGAGTTGCATAAACGACTCCGTTACGTCAAACGTGGCGGGGTCCCTCTGCCGTGATCCAGCGTTCGTCCCGGCAACCGGGGCAGCGCTGCATCCGGTGGAGTCAGAGGTGATTTGAGGATCATGGTGACGGCTTCCCCAGAGGGAGTTCGTCACCCCTCAAGCACTCCGCAGCCGGTGGAGTTTCCGAAGGTACGGGCTGGACCCTCTGCAAGACAGAGTGCACAACCCGTGTCCCTCGGTGCTCCGTCTGATGACCAGATGTCGATCGCTGCATCAGAGGGCGAGCTCTCTCTCTCCGGGGATGACGACCCGGATGCGTTTCCCCCTTCAGGTGTGGTAGAGTTGTCCGAGCCAGACCCAGAGATGATGGCTATGCTTTCCCGGGCCACCGAGAATGTCGGGCTCGTGTGGAATCCTCCACCTCGTCCCGATCCTTCGAGGCTGGATGAGTGGTTTCTCAGTGGGGGTCGCGCTGGTTCTCAGCGCCCCCCTCCGGTGCCATTCTTCCAGGAAGTGCATGAGGAGCTCACAAGATCGTCAAGATCATTTTACTGCCCAAAACAAATCTTGTAGCTCCTCCGTCCTCACCACCCTCGATGGTGGGGCCACTTTGGGGTACGTGGGCATTCCCTTGGTGGAGCGGTCTGTGGCCATGCAACTGTGTCCAACAGCTGCTACCACTCTGCGAGGTGACCCGTGTCTCCCCTCATGGGCATGTAAGTATTTGTCAGGCCTAACTGGCAGTGCTTACAGAGCTTGTGGGGAGGCGGCTTCTGCCCTTCACGCCATGGTGTTATTGCAGGTCCATCAGGCCAAAGCCCTGAGAGACCTGCACGAGGGTGGTCACGACCTGGCGGTTCTACATGAACTGTTCGCTGCGACGGACCTCGCGCTTCAAGCAACGAAGGTGACCGCACAGTCTCTGGGTCATGCGATGTCCATGCTAGTGGTCCAGAAGCGCCATCTCAGGCTGTGTCTGGCCGACATGAAGGAGTATGAGAAGGTACAGTTCCTGAATGCTCCCGTGTCACAGACCAGCCTCTTTGGCGACGCTGTCGAGAGCTTTGCCCAGCAGTTCTCGGCAGCACAGAAGCAGACTGAGGTGATTAAGCACATCATGCGCCGGAGAAAACCTGCTGCTTCCACCCCGGCCGCAGCCCCTCAGCCGGAGATGGAGGAGACTGCTCGTCGGGAGATGGTGACCGCACCACTCCCTCCCCCGGAGGAGCGCCGGGTGGAGAATCTTTTGTTTCATTCTGTTTTTGTTCCGCCACTGGCCCAGCAGCCAACGGTACCCAAAACTTCAATAAAAGAGCAGTTTCCTCGGTCTCAGGAGTGCCAAGAGGAGGAGAGTAGTGAACCGTGCATCACAGGATCACTTCCCTTCTCCTCTCTCGCCAGCGGGCAGCAGTGGGTTGCCCAAGAGCACCCCTCCTGCCCATTCGTGGAACCAGGTAAGGGCTGTAGCACTCGAGTCCCCGCTTCATGTCATCACACGCCGGGCTGTCACAAGCCTCAAGCAGAGCTCCTGCATTTCTGGGTGTGAAATTGAGGGTTACACTTCACACCCAGACTCCGCCCTCTGCCGTCACAGGCCAGGCCATCACAGGCCCCGGGCTGGGTCTCTGTGTTCCACCACGCTGCCCCACCGCGGGTACGTCGGTGGTTCCATTGGTTGCACTGGCACGGTCTCTTGGAGCCTGGTTATTGCTTCCCAATCCGTCTTGGTGGCTCTTGCAGACCATCAGACTCGTTTATGCGATTCAGTTCGCCCGGTGACCCCCCAAGTTCAGGGGCATTCGGTTCACATCAGTCAAGGATGTCGATGGCCCTGTCTTGCATGCGGAAATCACAGTCCTGCTGGCGAAGGACGCGATAGAGCTGGTCCCTCCAGCTTACTTCATTGTGCCCAAGAAAGACAGTGGGTTACGACCGATTTTGGATCGGCGAGTTTTGAACCGTGCACTTCACAAGCTGCTGTTCAAGATGTTGACGCAGAAACACATTTTCGAATGCATCCGTCCCCAAGACTGGTTTGCAGTGATCGACCTGAAGGACGCGTACATTCATGTCTCGATCCTCCCACGGCACAGGCCATTCCTGCGATTCGCGTTCAAGAGGCAGGCATATCAGTACAAGGTCATGCCCTTCGGGCTGTCCCTGTCGCCTCGCGTCTTCACCAAAGTTGCGGAGGCAGCCCTTGTTCCCTTGAGAGAACGGGGTGTGCGCATACTCAACTATCTTGACGACTGGCTCATACTCGCACAGTCTTGCGATTAGTTGTGTGTACACACGGACCTGGTGCTCAGACACCTCAGCCAGTTGGGTCTTCGGGTCAACTGGGAAAAGAGAAAACTTGTGCCAAAGCAGAGGATCTCTTTTCTCGGCATGGAGTTGGATTTTGTCAACCAGACGGCACGCCTCACCCATGAACATGCTCAGTCGGTGCTGAACTGCCTCAAGACTTTATCAGGCAGGACGGCGGTCCCACTGAAACTCTTTCAGAGGCTCCTGGGGCATATGGCTGCAGCTGTGGCGATAGTTCTGCTCGGTCTGCTCCATATGAGACCGCTTCAGCACTGGCTCCATGGCCAAATACCAAGGTGGGTGTGGCATCGTGGTACTCACTGGGTTCAGATTATACCAGCCTGCCGCAGAACCATCAGCCCATGGTCAGATCCCTCGTTCCTTCGGGCAGGAGTGCCCCTGGAACAGGCATCCAGGCATGCTGTGGTATTCACAATGCCTCGGCCACCGGCTGGGGAGCCACGTACAATGGGTACGCAGTGTCAGGAGTTTGGACGGGTCCCCAACTGCGTTGGCATATCAATTGCCTCGAGTTACTGGCAGTACGCCTTGCCCTGAGTCGCCTCAGAGGGCGCCTTCAGGGCAGGGACGTTCTGGTCCGCACGGACAACACTGCGACTGTTGCGTATATCAACTGGCAAGGCGGTTTACGCTCCCGTCACATGTCACAACTCGCCCACCACCACCACCGTCCTTAGCGCCTAATTCTCCAGAGAGTTCCCTGACCGGGCAAACCCTGTCGAGTTCTCCAGCACTCCGGCAGCCAGGCCTTTCAGCCAATGAATTCTTGAAATCTGGTGTGAGGCTAGTGCCCATATGAGTGACCCTGTTGGGATCCCATATGTGTATGTCCATGGAACAGTTACTAGGGCCATGTTTCCCCTGGCAGACCATGTTCTGCCATCTCTAAATGATGCAGTCTGAGCCACCTCAGAGACTTACGGAGGCAGCCCTTGTTCCCATGAGAGAACAGGGCATTCGCATTCTCAACTACCTCGACGATTGGCTCATACTCGTTCAGTCTCAGGATCAGTTGTGCGAACACAGGGATTTGGTACTTTTACACCTCAGCCTGTTGGGCCTTCGGGTCAACTGGGAAAAGAGCAAACTCTCCCCGACGCAGAGGATCTCTTTTCCCGGTATGGAGGGGACTCGGTAAGAGCAGGATGGCGGTCCCACTGAAACAGTTTCAGAGGCTCCTGGGGCATATGGCAGCTGCAGCGGCAGTCACGTCGCTGGAGCTGCTTCATATGAGACCGCTTCAGCACTGGCTCCATGGCCAAATACCAAGGTGGGTGTGGCATCGTGGTACTCACTGGGTTCAGATTATACCAGCCTGCCGCAGAACCATCAGCCCATGGTCAGATCCCTCGTTCCTTCGGGCAGGAGTGCCCCTGGAACAGGCATCCAGGCATGCTGTGGTATTCACAATGCCTCGGCCACCGGCTGGGGAGCCACGTACAATGGGTACGCAGTGTCAGGAGTTTGGACGGGTCCCCAACTGCGTTGGCATATCAATTGCCTCGAGTTACTGGCAGTACGCCTTGCCCTGAGTCGCCTCAGAGGGCGCCTTCAGGGCAGGGACGTTCTGGTCCGCACGGACAACACTGCGACTGTTGCGTATATCAACTGGCAAGGCGGTTTACGCTCCCGTCACATGTCACAACTCGCCCACCACCCCCCCCGTCCTTAGCGCCTAATTCTCCAGAGAGTTCCCTGACCGGGCAAACCCTGTCGAGTTCTCCAGCACTCCGGCAGCCAGGCCTTTCAGCCAATGAATTCTTGAAATCTGGTGTGAGGCTAGTGCCCATATGAGTGACCCTGTTGGGATCCCATATGTGTATGTCCATGGAACAGTTACTAGGGCCATGTTTCCCCTGGCAGACCATGTTCTGCCATCTCTAAATGATGCAGTCTGAGCCACCTCAGAGACTTCCATGTGCAGTTGGGCCCTACTGGGTTATTCCACCTAAGTAAATGTCACTTAACCCCCTCTGGGAGGAGGTGACTCCGCAGCATGCCCTTTCCAAATAGATAGGGCACGCTTTCCCAGTGTTATCCAAGTCCTACTGTTGGGTTGCAAGGAACAGCTGTAGTCTACCTTCTCTGTGTACAGCCCGATCCTGTCATCTGCCTTATAGGAAGGATCAGGAGGCCTACACAGGGCACTGGAGGGTGCAGCACCTGTGGCGTGTTGGTATGGATCCCAATTCATCTGTCATCACCGTGAACACTGTTCAAAACAGTGTGAGTTTTACTTTCCTCCTAAATCAGTTTGTCCGAACTTAATATATATAAGAAATTATTTCGTCCTACTAAGTCTTTTGGCACTGATGTATTTTTTCCACCCCTTTAAACAAGTGAAAAGTAAAACCTTCCTGTGCAACATTAGGTTCTGATGTTATAACTCTCACAGCACTCAGTATTTCCTCACAGTGATGACAGATACTGAGACTTCAGGCTCTTTACTTCATGATCATTCACACTACAGTCAATCTAGAACTTAAAGAACACAGATGTGAATCTGGAAACTCCAAATACAAACGCACTTTAATGTGTAATTATACAGTAATGGCGCTCTCTAGTGTCACTATACAGTCCTTTCCCTTATAAAGGACTCTAGTGTTGGAGCTGCCTGCCCTTGATCAAATAAAACCAAATCAGCTTTTGTGTTTTAACTCTAATACAC